CCTCAAGTTCATACTTGAATCCTTTTGACATGATTCCATAAGTAGTCCTTGATAATTTTCCTACTTTGTGTTATGACAAGATACTCATATTATATATTTGTCTAAGGAACAAAACCCTAGTTTCTTTTAGTAGGAAGTGGTATTTAAAAATCTGTCAAGGTACTTGAAATGTCCTTTGCTCACTAGGTTGGTCTTTATTTCTAGGCTTCTGTAGTTGATAGAGCTAGAAAATAATTTTCCTTTTCAAGTAACTTTAAAACAGTAATTTAACTGTTCATCGCTCATGGGATAGATCTTAAGGAAAAGACGGGAAAAAATCCTATATTGTTTGTAATAATAATACTGTTTGGGGAGCATTATATGTATATTGTGGGATAAAACAAGTGAGAAATTATGTTGGTGTCATTAGGAACCACAATTTTCAGCCTTGTCAAAAGGAGATACATATGTAATATTGAAGAATTAAAAACCGATAGTCCCGAATTTAAATTGAAAGTATCAGTATGACCCCATATTCCCCCCACCCCACCGTAAGTCACTATTTTAAAAAGTTTTAATTTCTGTCTCTCTATGCATCCCTCTGTCCCTCACCTTAGGTAAGCATTTGCACACTGTGCATACTTTTCTTCAGCTCGCTGTTTTCACCTTATGATATACCCTGGATATTGTACCATGCGCTACAGCATGCATTCTCAATGGGAGATATCACCCCAAGAGGCCAAAAATTGGTTCTTGAAGAGTGAAAATAATCTTGGATATTACAATGGTTTGTGGCTCTCCAAAGGGCCACAGTACATAAGAGATATACAATATATCTGTGGTATTAAAATTTCACGGAAAGTGTGTGTGTATGATTAGGAATAAAAATATCTAAAGAGGTTTCTGGAGGGACAATAATGAAAAAAGATTGAGAAACTGCTCTAGAGCAGTGTATGTAGGTATTTATCAGTTCTTTTAAAAGTATATAATTATTTAAGAATGTATTATGACTTATTCAACTAGTTCCTGATTGGTCAACATTTGGGTTGTTTCCATTTCTTTACAGTTACCAACAGTGCTGCAAATCAACATATGTTCTTTTGTATTTTTGCTAGTGCATCTTTGATACAGATTCTAAGAAGTGGGATTCCTAGGTCAAAGGGTAATTGCCTATGTAATTTTGCTAGATGCTGCCAGATTCCTCTTATGGCAATGTTTTAGTTTGTACTAGTGGATATGTTCTAAATTAGTTTATTGTGAGATTGCATTGCCATTGATGAGAACCTTTTTAGTCTTCTAATTAGCTACAGGAAATATAATTTTCATATTGCAAAATGCAAACTATTAATATGTTATTTCACTTATCAGATTTTTTTCAAAATTATCACTACCCCTACTTATCATATGTTGTTTATAAAAGAAGACGAAGGCATCTATCTAAAAGGTCAAATGGTTTTAACTAATTTTTTAAAAATTGTGCTACATTTCTTCTTTCTTCTTTCTTAGTAAAGACAGTCGCCAACATTAAGGATTTCTTTTTCAAGTAAATGCAGTATAGTTATATTTAAAATGTTTTATTTTTTATTTAAATTTAATCATTTATATTTAAATGTTTTAAAATTGCCCCAGAAGATAGAGCTTTAAAAATTTTTTTTTCCCCTGAGGAATAAACAGATTTTTCCATTGGCCTATTTCACTGAAGTTTTGAAATACTTTGGACCAGTTAAGTTATCTAAGTTTCTTCAGCTCATTGCTTTTATGAAGCTATTAGATAGTGTGGCAAAAATCCCTTTATATATGAAGGTACTTCATCCTTACACTTTCAGTTTTGTATTCTAATGACTTTCATTTTAATGACATGAGGGATGTTGCACAGTAACTCAAGCTGATTGTGACAGAGATTGAATTGAGTCAGACTGTACGTGTGGTCCTTCCAATACTTATTTGTACTCAGAACAAGGCCTGGCACACGGTAGGCACTTCTATTTGTTGAATAAATGAATGGCTGGGAAGCTATCACCATTTATATATAGTAAATGGTTAATAAGGAAAGGACTTAAAATATCTGAGTATATTGTCCATGAAATGTAGTCCCCAAATTTATGAAGTAACCTGGTTTTCTAGAATGCATTTAACTGTCTACAGGTTAAAGATATACAGTTGACCCTTGAACAACACAGGGTTGAACCTCATGGGTACACTTATATATATGCAGGTTTTTTTCAATAAAGACATTGGAAAATTTTTTGGAAGTTTGCAATAATTTGAAAAAAAAAAAAACTCCCAAACTGCATAGCCTAGAAATATTAAAAAAAAATTAAGAGAAAGTTAAGATATGTCATGAATGCATAAAATATACATAAATACTAGTCTATTATTTATTATACGACCACAAAATACACAATAATCTATTATAAAAACTTTAGATTTATCAAAACTTAGACCATACATGGAATCATTCATACAGTATTAAATCATAACTGCAAAAAATTCACTATAGCATATGTTGTATAATAATTTCGTAGTCACCTCCTGTTGCTCTTGTGGTGAGCTGAAGTGTTACAAGTATCCATTTAAAATGCCTTGTGATACTAATCATCTCTGCATGAGCAGTTCGTCTCTCCAGTAAATTATGTGTGGCAGTAAAAAGTGATCTCTCATGGTTCTTGTGTATTTTTCATCATGTTTAGTGCAAACCACAAACTTTGAATAACACCATGGGACTCATATGAAGTGCCACTAGTGTTGCTGGAACTGCTCCCAAGAAACAAAAGAAAATCATGACATTTATACAAGAAAATATTGAATTGCTTGATATGCACCCTAGATTGAGGTCTGCAGCTGCGGTTGCCAGCTATTTCAAGATAAATGAATCCAGTTTAATGACCATTGTAAAAAAAAGAAAAGGAAATTCATGAATTCGTTGCCACAGCTACACCAGCAGGTGTGAAAGCCTTGCACGTTTTGTAAAATAACCTTTTTATCTCATATTGAAAATGCAGCTTTTATGTGAGTGCAGGATTGCTGTAAGACGGCAAACCTATAGATTCTAATAGGATTGGAGAAAAAGCAAAGTCATTACATGACAACTTAAAGCAAGAAGAAGGTGAAGGATCTAAAGCTGGAGAATATAATGCCAGCAAAGGATATTGTTTGATAATTTTAGAAAGAGGTTTGGCTTAAAAAATATCCAGTTAACAGGAGAAGCATCTTCTGCCAACCAAGAGGCAACAGAGTTCCCAAATGCCATTAGGAAAATCATTGAGGAGAAAAAGTACCTGCCTGAACAGGTTTTTAGTGTAGAAGAAAGTCCTCTGTTCTGGATAAAAATACCACAAAGGGCATAAGTAAGGAAAAGAAACGAGCACTGGGATTTATGACAGGAAGGGATAGTCTAACTCTACTGTTTTGTGCAAATGCAATTGGGTTTATGATCAGGACTGCCCTTATCTATAAAGCTGAAAACCCAGGAGGTTTGAAGGGAAAAGATAAATACCAGCTGCCAGTCTTTTGGATGTACAAGAAGAAGACCTGGATAAGAACTGTTTTTCTGGATTGGTTCCATCTATACTTTGTCCCTGAAGTCGGGAAGTACCTTGTCATTAAGGGGACTGCCTTTTAACATTCTTTTGGTATTGGACGATGCCCCTGGCAACCTAGAACCCCATGAGTCCAACACTGAAGGTGTTAAAATAGTCTCCTTGTCCCCAAAACACAACATCTCTAGTCCACCCTCTAGATCAGGGGATCATAAGGACCGTTACCACTCATTACACACTGTGCTCTGTGGAAAGGATTGTCAGTGCTATGGAGGAGAACTCCGAAAGAGAGAACATCATGAGAGTCTGGAAGAATTACACCATTGGAGACACCATTATTGTTATAGAAAAAGCTATAAAAGCCATCAAACCTAAAACAATAAATTCCTGCTGGAGAAAACTGTGTCCAAGTGTTGTGCATTACTTCACAGGATTAACGACAGAGCCAATCACGGAAATCATAAAAGAGATTGTGGATATGGCAAAAAAGGTGTGTATGTATGTGGAATGTAGAGTTTCAAGATGTGGATCTTGGAGAAATTAAAGAGTTAATAGACACTAAACCAGAGGAATTATTAGAAGATGACTTGGTGGAGATGAATGCTTCCAAACTAGTGCCAGACAATGAGGAAGAAGACATAGAAAAAGCAGTACCAAAGAACAAACTGACGTTAGGTAATCTGGCAGAAGGGTTCTAATAATTCAAGACTGCCTTTGACTTCTTTTATGACATGGACTCTTCTATCATGCGGGCACTGAAACTAAAGCAAACGGTGGAAGAAAGATTGGTACTGTATAGAAACAAACATTTTTAGAGAAATTAAAAAGCAAAAAAGGCAGAAATTACGATGTATTTCTGTAAAGTTACACCAAGTGTGCCTGCCTTTCCTGCCTCCCCTTCCACCTCCTCCACCTCTTATGCCTTTGCCAACCCTGAGACAGCAAGACCAACTTCTGCTCTTCCTTCTCAGCCTATTAAACATGAAGATGACCTTTATAATGATCCACTTCTATGAATCTACCATCTAATGAATAGTAAATATATTTTCTCTTCCTTATGATTTTCGTAATAATATTTTCTTTTCTCTAGCTTATTTTATTATGAGAATACCATATATAATACATATAGCGTACAAAATATGTGTTAATTTATTATTTATGTTATCAGTAAGGCTTCCAGTTAACAGTAGGCAATTAGTTGTTAAATTTTGGGTGAGTCAAAAGTTATATGCAGATTTTCAGCTGTGCAGGGGATTCAGCATAACCTCTGCATTGTTCAAGAGTCAAGTATAAAGAGAAAAATAAAATTTGGGAGATGAAATGATTGCGATTCTTTTGGCAAGTTAAAGGACTATATTTTAATAAATATCACATTGCACAGGTACTGTCAACTGGAAAAGTTTTGCTTAGTAGTTCCCTTGATCGTGGAGTAAATTTGTGGTTTTTAGTAGACACATGTAACATTTTTCTCTTCCTTTATAGGCATTTGGGATCACAGCTTTGTGAATTAGAAAAACTGATAGATAAAATGATGATTGCAGAGTTTTCTACTTATTCTCACAGTGACTTAAATAGACCACTGGAAGATGACTGTCAAGTTTTAGAAGAGGTATGTATTTTGAACTGTGGAATGAAATTGATGTCATTGCTTAGTGTTAATCCCTAATAGTCTTAGTTTAGAACTTGTTTTTCTCAGATTATAGTAAGCAAAATTATCTTAAATTTTAAGGTCTGTCAGATCTATGAAGTCCTTCACTATGTGACTTTGGCTAGTACCACTATCCTATGGGATAGTGAACCTAGAGAATAAAATAATTTTATAGCTTAATTAGAAATTAGTGTTAAAATGAGGTCCTTATAGCTTACAAATCAAGTTCAAAATATAAATATAGGATGGATTAATTTATATTCCATGTGCATGTGTGTATGCGTTGGAGTTTATCTTTTGTAAAAAGTGATTATTTGATATGGTAATTTATCAATAATTCATATTCACTGACATTAGATAATCTGGCAGAAGAGTTCTAATTATTCAAGACTGCCTTTGACTTCTTTTATGACATGGACTGTTCTATCATGCAGGCACTGAAACTAAAGCAAATGGTGGAAGAAAGATTGGTACTGTATAGAAACAAACATTTTTGGAGAAATTAAAAAGCACCGATTATATACCTATTATGAACATGTTTTATGCATATGTGTATACAAATGCATCATATCCAAGCTTCACTTATCCGGCAACTTCTCAGTGCTAATCATTGCCAAGAACTAGTAAAGAATTCAAAAAGCTCTGATAACAGCCAAAGTAGTTGAAGAAATTTTGGTACATGTTAGAAGTTGGTCCGCTGGTCTCTCCGTCTGAGAGTCCTAGTCATCATTCTAGTCTTCTAGACCAAACGTGAATTAAAAAGCACAGGGCTGACATTGTATTTATTGGTCATCAGGGATTGAGAAGGATATTTTTTAACTATTTGTTGAAACTGGGCCAAAAAATACCCTTGTATTGTTTTGTCCCCAAACCAGCTTCATTTGATCCTCTGTGGTAATGCAAGGTTTACCTGTTTTAGAACACTGACTCCAAAAATCTGATGACAAGATTGCTGTGAGAGGGGTTTGTCAGGCTGCTAGAAAATATCATGTATAGGGATTGAGATCTGAGAATCAAATAAAACTGAATATTTCTACCTCTAAATAAGATTATTTCATATTTAAAATGTGATGTTACATGCTCTTCTTTTACTTTAATAGGAAAGACTAGTATCTCTTGTATTTGGACTTTTAAAACAAAGAAAACTTAATTTTTTAGAAATCTATAGTGAAGAAATGATTATTACAGCAAAAAATATCATTAAACAGGTAATTATACATTTTCATATGATATATTTTGAGCTAGAATCTTTTGCAAAGTTTATTTTTATGCTACCTTAGTAATAATATATATAGTATAATAGTAATACTTGATCCATTAATTAAAACTAGAAAATATAGAAAAATTAAAAGAAAAAAAAACATAGCTTTCCCAGCCAAAAGATTATCATTTTAAGAATATTTCTATGTGTAGATGGTTACTGATTTTTTCATTGTTGTCATAACCTATATATGATTTTGAACCTATATTTCAATTAGAATCATAACATAAGCATTTTCTCATGATTATATAAGCCTTCAGAAACATTTTAATGGTTGTATAAAATTCCGTCAACATTATGTTGGTAACCCTACTTAATTTCCTGTATGTTGAATATTTAGGTTGTTTTTAATGTGACACTGTAAATAACACCATGACAGACATCGTCAGTATAAAGTTATTTGTTTATTTTTCATATTTAAGATTGCTTTCTTAGACTGATTCCCAGAAGTGGAATTATTGGTCAGAGTTAGAAGTATTTTTAAGTCATTTGATAACATAGTACTGAATTGCTGTCTAAAAAGATTTTACCAATTTATAATCAGTCCCACCAGCAGTAGACAAATGGTTCTTTCTTTTTTACTTTGATCTTTGAGAAATTATAATTTTCACCCCTTTTCACCTCTCGCTAACAATGATTAAAACACTATTTTTAAATTGGTATAGCCACTTCGAAAAATTGTTGACAATATCTACTAATGCTAAATATACACATGTTGTGCCCCAGCATTTCTATTTCTAGGTATTCACCCAACAAAAATACATATGTAAATTCACCAAAACACAGTGAAAGAATGTTCATGGTAGTACTATTTATAATGAAAAAGTGGTAACATTTCAAATTCCATCATCAGTAGAAAGTATAAATAGAATTGTGGTATATTTATATAGTGGAATACTGTACATCAATGAGAATGATTAAATTACACAGAACAGCATAAGTGAATACTACAGACATAATGTAGAGCCAAAGAAACCAGACACTAAAGAGTATACACTCTATGATTCTATTTATGTAAAATTTAAACACTGGCAAAATTACTCTATGGTTTAGAAATCCAGATAGTAGTGTCTTTTGGGAGGGGAGCAGGAGAGTAGCTCTGGGTACTGGCAGTATACAATTTCATGAGCTGAGTTCTGATTACACACACGTATTCTGTTTGTATAAAAGTATTCAACTGTAAACATAATTTGTACAATTTTTATGTATGTCTACTTTCAAACAAATTTTTTAAATTGCTGTGTTTCATTCCTAGACTTCTCCTGAAGTCTAAGCATTTTTTTTTTTTAACTTTAAACTGCTGGGTGTATTGAAATGTAACTTCCAATATGAATTTCTTTTGGGATTTTAATATGGAGTTTACACCTTGTTCCTAAGTATTATAGTCCTGTTTTTCTGTTGAACAGTTTTAAGTAGTAGGAGATTTTAATTATTACCGTTCAAACATAACTATGAAATAATTATTTACTTGTGTAAAGGTAATGCTGCAGTTTTCAAAACACCTTGAAATATGTGTAGAAGATATAAGAAAAGTCTGGTAAAATGGTTATTGTAGTCAGTGAGGTCCTTTTTAATGTACAAATGGAACATAGAATACTTAGGATTTGAAAGACAATTAATCAAATTGTTTTTGTTTTTTCTTAAATTTTTCAGTGTGTGATTAATAAAGTTTCACAAATAGAAGAAATAGACACAGATGTTGTTGTGAAGTAAGTATAAATATATAAGTTGGTTATCAGGGAAAAGATGATACATGAAAATTGGAATAAGGAGGATTTAGTTAAGGAATTATTTACTAAAGTATGAGCAGGATCTGGGAAAATCACAAGTGAGCTTGGAGAACCTTTAAGAGACAAAGAAAGATAGCAATTAGCAGAATTCAGGAAAGACAGGTAGTAGTTGAAAAAAAGCTGTGGCTTTGAGTAGAGGGAAGCAGTCATCCTGAGGCAACCCTTCAGGGAGAGAGCTGAAGGAGTAAGTACATTTCCTCCTTACAGTACATTTCCTCCTTACAGTCTTTGTAAGGGCTCCTCATTGGCCAAGCCGAGCAGGTTGGCCTCCCAGGGCAGAGAGCAGAATGGAGAGGTATAGAACGTAAATATGGAGGGGGTGGGAATTGAAGATAATTCATACAGGAACATAGCAAGTATTAAGTTTGAATTATTTAGCTATATAATTAAAATACATCTTCCAATTGGCTTGAGAATTTGAGTATATGATTTTTGAATTGCCCACATCTGCAATTTTTTTTCACCCTTGAAATTCTTATTCTTTTATTTTGAGAAAACTAGGGATACGTATTTTATGACTGGATTTCACATACATATAGATATCTAAACTTTATTAACTGGCCTAAGATATGAACAGTAATATGGACAAATATGAAGCTTCCCTGGGCCAAACCCACAGAGTGGAGATTGTGGCATTTTAATTTCCATACTATTACCTGGGGAAAACTCAGTTCAGACTTGAGACAACTGTAATAATGGGGGAATTGCTAGTAGTTGGAAAAAATATGTCATTAGGACTCTGTTAGAAGCCCAATGGAGGTGCAGAGTCAGTTACTTTTTATTTTCTTCTCTAGGGATTTTTCTCAACATAAGTAGAGAACTTCCTATATAACAAGTATAGGAGTATCTTTTGAATAAACTCCTAGCTGCAGCAGCATTTATTAAAAATTTCAAGTAATAAGTCATTTTAATACTATAAAGTATCTGTGGAATTCTATTTTGCATTAATCTTTTCACCTTGAAGTTAATGATTTATGTCAATTATCAGAATAATAATATTGACTGATACATAGCACTTTAAAAAAATATACCGGTCGGGCGTGGTGGCTCACGCTTGTAATCCTAGCACTCTGGGAGGCCGAGGCGGGCGGATTGTTTGAGCTCAGGAGTTCGAAACCAGCCTGAGCAAGAGCGAGACCCTGTCTCTACTAAAAATAGAAAGAAATTAATCGGACAACTAAAAATATATAGAAAAAATTAGCCGGGCATGGTGGCACATGCCTGTAGTCCCAGCTACTCGGGAGGCTGAGGCAGAAGGATTGCTTGAGCCCAGGAGTATGAGGTTGCTGTGAGCTAGGCTGATGCCACGGCACTCACTCTAGCCCGGGCAAAAGAGTGAGATTCTGTCTCAAGAAAAAAAAAAAAAACTATGCATTGTTCTAAGTACTTTTTATTAACTTATTTAATGTTTACAACACCCATGTAAGGTGTGTTCCATTGTTTTCCTCATGTTAAGATGAGAAAATTGGAACATGGAGGGGTTAAGTCACTTGCCAGAGTCACATAGCTATTAATTCCAGTAAGCTGCTGGAATTTTGAACTGAGATAGTGTGGCTCCAGAGCTATCATGCCATAGTACCTCTCATATATGGAAAAGTACTTTTTAAGTTGTAGTTAGAAAGGTAGATTATTAAATTTGTTGGGAGAGCTGTTATGTTTCTATTTTTATTCCAGAATATATCTTTACCTTTATCTAAAATTGGTTTGTCTATGGTTTATTCATTCAATGGTCACAAAGCACGTTCACATGAAATTAATATGTAATAAGATTCATATGTCAGTATACTTGACTAGTCTTAAAGATATTTAAACAAGTCATCGTTGTTTGGTTATTGACCTCTTCAACTCAAGATTCCATTATTTTAGTTAGGTATCTAGATAAAATTGCATTTTATTCTTCAGTCATTAGATAGTATTTAGTATTGTTTCCTGCAGTTTGTAGATGTTACCATATTGACCCAGAGACAATGATTATTTTTGTTTGAATTATTTTTTTTCTAGGCTTGCAGACCAGATGAGAATGTTGAATTTCCCCCAGTGGTTTGATCTGCTAAAGGATATTTTCTCTAAGTTTACAATTTTCCTACAGAGAGTTAAGGTATGTATCAGTGTGTACAGAATATCCCTAAAATTAAGTCAGCTTTCTAGATATATACATATATATATATATATATATAGTCAAACAAGAATAAAACACAATTACTTTGTTTTTGTAATTTTTCTAAAGAAACTTTAAGAATTTAAGTGCCTCAGAGTATTTTGGCAATTTTTATAATTTTGGATGATTTGTTTTATATTAAAAAGAAATATTGTATGGCTGGGTATGATGGCTCACACTTATAATCCCAGCATTTTGGGAGGCTGAGGCGAGAGGATCACTTGAGCCCAGTTGTTCAAGAACAGTTCAAAATAAAAAAAAAATTAGCTGAATGTGTTGGTGTGTGCCCATAGTCCTAGCTACTGGGGAAGCTGAGGTGGGAGGATCATTTGAGCCTGGAGTTGGAGGTTGCAGTGAGCTATGATTGTGCCATTGCACTCGAGCATGAGCAACAGAGCAAGACCCTGTCTGTAAAAAAAAAAAAAGAACGAAAGAAAGAAATATTGTAATGCTTACTGGACATTGTATATTATAAAATAATATTTCCTCTAGTGATTCTGTGATATTTGAATCCTTTCAGATTATCTGGTGGTACAACTCAAAAATCCATCCCAAACCACTAATTTTTCTATAAGTTCAGTGTTGATATAGTGCTATTTTTTAACATATTGTTCATATTCAAATTATCCCACTAATGTTCTTTACTGCAGATTTTAATTTTTTGGGTAGGGGTTCAATTGAAGATCATGTATTACATTTAATTATTTTGTCTCTTTAGTCAAACCACTTAATTTGAAGCCACTTAATATAAGGAAAAGAATATCTGTCACATAACATTTTTCAGATGTCACCGACTCTAAAACATACTGGTTGGAATCACCAACATGTTATAGCTACGTTTTAAAAAGAAGACAGTCATTAGGTATTACTGAATGTAACAGTTAAAAGGGACCATTTGTGAAATTTGATATTGTTTGAGTTATCAAGTGTCAGCATTATACTAGTTAACATCCCCATCATCTCCTGAGTACCATGCTAAATAATCTGGGGGACTTTGGTAATTGTCTATGACATGGCTTTTCTTTATTGACTTTGGAGCAATGCTAAGTCACACGTGTAAGCTCACCAATCAGGTTGGGACAAGTTTTATAGAATGTGATTCATTGTGCTTAATTTAGACTCCTTCTAAAATGTTGATCCCACCCATTGATAGTGATAGAAACAAACTTGTATCTATGGATTGTTAATAACTAGGCCACATTTTCACTTTTTCTTATATTCTGACCATGACCTCAACATCACATACTTCTATTATTGCGTATCTGGATATATAGAACTCCTGCATGCATAGTGCAGAATGGCCCAACTTTTTGCCAATAATTTTTAAAGTACAATAAGTCTTCACTTAACATAGTGGATAGGTTCTTGGAAACTGTGACTTTAAGTGAAAGGGGGTATAACAAAACCAGTTTTTTTTTCTCATTAACATTGTAACAAGTTTATTCTACCTGCTGTACATTGTTTCACTTAAAGTCATAGTTTCCAAGAACCCATAAACATTAAGTGAGGACTGACTTACTCCACTTTTAGGCTCTGTGTCAGTTAAACTAAGTAGAATTTGTTATTTCATGTATGTACAATATGGGAGCAGTGATTTGTCATAGTTGTAATTTCTCATTTTCACATTTGGGCCACTTAAAATAGTACTTACGTAGAGCATCTTTGAAAATGGCATATAATCTTTAAATGTACTTTTTTTGAAAAAAGTTCGTTATTTTATAAAGGTATGATTTCACTGAAAAATAGTGTTAATTACAACCTGTCATTTTTAAGGAAGAATTTTTAAATAACTAAATATTGGAAAGAACCCTGGTGTCTAACTTTAGAGGAATGATAAAATAAATTATGTCTGATCCATTTTTTACCATGGAACATCATATATAGCCAAGGATTTTTAATGGTAGAAGAAAATGCATACATTATAATATTAAGTGAAAAGGCAAAATATAGAGAGACCTACTTATATAGTATGATCTCAGCTATGTTAAAAATTTTTTAAATCTGTTTATCTTCCTAGAACAAAGATACAACTTGGCTTTTTGATGAGTGTCTTTAGGTGATCAGATTATATGTCATTTAAGATTTTTATTCTTTGTTGTTTTCCCTAAATTTTCTACGAAGAGAGGTACTATTTTAATAATCAGAAAAAGTTGCTTTGCTTTTTAATAGTGTTTACCACATTATAGGTATAAACTATTTGAATTTCTTGTTTAATTTACCAGGGTTAATAATTTACTTTCCTATATTCTTGTATTTATTTCTCAAAAACAAGGGATATTCCTTATTTCAGTTTAGTATTAGAAGTAAATTATACTTTTCAAAAGAAATTAAAGCACAGAATTTCAGCCAGAGCATTTTAATAATACTTTCTACTTTAAACAGATAAATAATAAAAAGATTAAGGTTTGAAAATTTCATATTTGAATGATTAATGACTTGAGGATCTATATTGCTATTAGCGATTTTTTTAGTATGTATTTTTTGAATTTTTTTGTTGTGGTAAAGTAAACATAACAATAAAATTTATCATTTTAACTTTTTTTTTTTTTTTCTTTTTTTGAGACAGAGTCTTGCTCTGTCTCCTGGGCTAGAGTGCAGTAGCGTCATCATAGCTCACTACAACCTCAAACTCCTGGGATTGAGTGATCCTCCTGCCTCAGCCTCCTGAGTAGCTGGGACTACAGGCACACACCACCATGCCTGGCTAATTTTTCTGTTCTTAGTAGAGACAGGGTCTTGCTCTTGCTCAGGCTGGTCTCCAACTCCTGAGCTCAAGTGATCCTCCTGCCTCGGCCTCCCAGAGTGCTAAGGATTACAGGTGTGAGACCCTGTGCCCGGCCCATTTTAACTATTTTTAAGTGTACTGTTCAGTGACATTAAGTTCATCTGCACTGTTGTGCTACCATCACTATTATCCACGCACAGAACTCTTTCCATCTTGCTAAACTGAAACTCTGTACCTATTAAAAAAAATAACTCTTCATTCCCTCCTTCTTCTGGCCCCTAGCGGCGACCATTCTACTTCTGTCTCTATGAGTTTGACTATTCTGGGTGCCTCATATAAGTAGAATCATGTAATTCTTTTTATCCTTTTGTGACTGGCTTATTTCACTTAGCCTAATGTCCTCAAGGCATCATCTATATTGTAGTATGTGTTAGAATTTCTTTCCTTTTTAAGGCTGAATAATAGTCCATCATATGTATATATATTACATTTTGTTTATCCATTCATCTGTCAGTGGACACTTGGGTTGCTTCCACCTTTTGGCTATTATGAATAATGCTGCCATGAACATGATGTATACAGGTATCTCTTTGAGTCCCTGCTTTCAGTTCTTTCAGTTATATACCTAGAAGTGGGATTGCTGGATCATATGGTAATTCTGTTTCTCATTTTTTGAAAAATCCTCATACTGTTTTTCACAGCAGCTACCCCATTTTACATTCCAACCAACAGTGCACAAGGGTTACAGTTTTTCCACATACTTTCTAATACTTGTTATTTTCTAGTTTTTTTTTTTTTTTTGAGAGTAGCCATCATACTGGGTGTGAAGTGGTATTCCACTGTGGTTTTAATTTGCATTTCTTTAATGATTAGTGATATTGAGCATTTTTTCATGTGCTTATTGGCCATTTTTCTGTCTTTAAAGAAATGTCTTCTTTGCCTATTATTTAATAGGATTGTTTGTTTTTTTGTTGAGTTGTAGGAGTTCTTTGTATATTCTGATATTAACCCCTTAACAGATACATGATTTGCAAATATTTTCTCCCATTCCATGGGTTGCCTTTTCCTAATATTGTACCTTTTGATGGACGGAAGTGTTTTTATTTTGATGTAGTCCAATTTATCTATTTTTTTGTTGCCTGTGCTTCCGGTTTCATATCCAAGAAACCAATGCCACAACCAATGTCAAGAAGCTTTCCCTGTGTATTTTCTTCTAAGAGTTTTATAATTTTAGGCCTTATGCTTAGGCCTTTTATTTATTTGTTAGTTCTTATATGTGGTATAAGTTAAGGGTCCACCTTCATTCTTTGGCATGTGGATATCCAGTTTTCCCAGCACCATTTTTTAAAAGACTGCCCTTTCTCCATTGAATGGTCTTGGCACCTTTGTTGGAAAACGTTTTACCACATATGCGAGGGTTCATTTCTTGGCTTTCTATTCTACTTCGTTGCTATTATATCTTTCTTTATGCCAGCATGACACTATTATGATCACCCTAGTCTTGTAGTAAGTTTTGAGATCAGGAAGTATGAGACCTCCATAATTTCTTCTTTACAGTTAATCCTATTTTCAATTTTTATTAAAATTCTTGTTTGTTGTATATACCCCATAGATTAGGTGATTTTTATAGCTGAAAAAGAAAAGTCCTTAAACGGAGCTTACATCCTTTTCAAGGAATTTTTTTTTTTTTTTTTTTGAGTTAGGGTCTCTGTCTTCCAGGCTAGAGTACAGTGATGTCATCATAGCTCACTGCAACCTCAAACTCCTGGGCTCAAGCTATCCTCCTGCCTCAGCCTCTTGAGTAGCTGGGACTACAGGTGTGTGCCACCATGCCCAGCTAATTTTTCTATTTTTCGTAGAGACAGGGTCTCGCTCTTGCTCAGACTGGTCTCGAACTCCTGGCCTCAAGCAATCCTGCCTTGCCCTCCCAAAGTGCTAAGATTACAGGTGTGAGCCACCCATGCCTGGCCAGATTTGCATTTTGTTATGTGGACAAATAATCCTAGGCTGTCATTTTAGAGACTTATCAATATGATTACCAGCATATTTCATTTTCTCTATTCTAATGATTGGAAAGTTAAATTTGGTTTAGCTGTCCTAGTTTTTTTTGAAACATGGACTTTTCTACAGACTGTGTAATAGTTCAGAAATTAAATCATGTTATCTACTGTCAAACCTATTATATATTATAAATTCTTGTTTTTTGGAGACGAATCTTCTCGCATCCTTTAGCAAGAATGGCTCTGGAATTGGAAAAAATAATTAGCATATCTCTAAAACTGTAGATATGATGAAAATAGAGAGGAATCCCTAAGAGAACACTTGATATACTGTATACAAAAAATTTATTATTGTATCAGCTAGGATGTTGCTATTAAAAGGGATAAAATATTCAATCAAATGAGTTTAAATGATAAAAGGAATGTATTGGCGCAGGTAACTAAAAAAGTCCAAGTCTAGATGGGCTTTATACATAATTTTGTCTTGGTTCTCCAGCTTAGTTTCTCTGTTTTAAATTTTGTTCTGCCTTCCTCTTTGTTGACTTCATAAGTTCCAGGTCTTCTACATTTGCCACAATTCTATACCACCTAGAGTTTTTCTTCCTATTTTTTACCTAGAGTTTTTCTTCACCAGTCATCAAATGAAATTCCTTTATTGATTGAACCAATTTAGAATTTTTCATCTAGAGTTTTTCTTCTTTAGTCATCAAATGAAAGTTCTTAGCTTTAATTGATTGAACCACTTTAGGTCACATGCCCAGTCACTATGGTCAGGAAAATGCCATGCACTGATTGTTATAGGTCTGGATATTCTTCTCAACTCTGAACTAATCGCGAGGCAAGGAAGTTGGAAGCACACCCAATGGGCTATTAAGTACTAACGCTTGAAGCTAAAAGGTGGCCTCAGTTCCACCTAAATCACATGGCTGCTATACCATGGGGGAGGTGGTGTAGAATAGATGTTGGGGAGGAAAGACTATATCCATCACCATGGTCTTTTTATTTAAAAAAACAGTTATGAAAGAAAAGCAAGAAAGAAATAAGAAAAGCAAAACAAGATGGGGGAAGTAAGCACATCAAAGATTGGACAGTAGTAAGGACTAAAAACAGTAGTAGTAGAGTGTAGCAGGCAGAAAATTTGTGACAATACGGAAGAAGTTAGTGATCAATGAAGAAAGTAAAAAATGCACTATCCGTAGACACTTTGGTATTGAAGTTTTTTAAGGTTGTATCTGCTGTGTACTATATCGGCTATTGTCTCACGTAGAGTACTTTCAGTTCCAAATAACAAGAAACACAGCTCAGAGTGTCTCAAACAATTGAGGGAGTATATTAGCTCAGATAACTGAAAAATGTAGGTCAGCCTTTAGGTGCTCGATACAGAGGTTGATGATGTCATCAAGCCTTGGCTTTGTTTCCTTGCAATTCTGTCTTCTATGTACCTTCTTTAGCTTTAAGCTCAGGTAATAGTGGTTCCGTTTGCTGATTGGACTAGCCTAGACCCTTATCCTGATTTTGGAGACTTGAAGTTGGAGTCTGCTTTTATAGAACCATGTAGATCCCAAAATGAAAGCAATGTTTTGAGAAAGGGAGAAACAAGTTATGAAAATGCAACCATGAATGTTAAAATAGGCAAGTAGCCCCTTATTTCTTAATAGTCCATAAAGACATTAATTTACATAAGTTTACTCTTCATTCATCTAGCTTTCAATATTTATTGAGAACCTCCTATTCGCCAGGCACTATTTTAGGCTTTAGGATTACAATATCTCATTGAGCTAACATTGTACTGGAAGGAAACCTAGAATAAACAAATTTTAAAAAGATAATTTTAGATAATGATAAATATTTTTTTTTTTTCCCCACTGGTAATAGGATAGAGTTGCTGGGAGGACAGTTAGGGAAAGCATTTTTGAGGAAGTGACCATTTGTGCCAAAACCTGAGCGATGAGAAGGAAATGTGTACAAAGATCAAGGTGAAGAGCGTACTGGGCAGAGGGAACAACAAAGGCACTAGGTGGGAACAGTCTTAGAGTAACAGAAGAATAGAAAGAGAACCAGAATGTTTGGATAAGTGAGAGAAGGTATGAGATGAGGAGAAAGATGGGCAGGGGCTAGGCATGGAAAGCAATACAAATTATTTTTCTTTTAGACAAGCATATCACCTAATAGGATTCTCTGACAGGCAAATTATTTTTAGTGTAAACTGTTTAAGAGGTTAGAGAAATATGCAATATATTTTAGAGAGACTTGCATTTAAAAATTAGTTAAAATACAGGAACTCTATTTCTAAGCTTTAGTCATTTTTACTGTATAATAAGAGATTGGTAGAAATTTTGATATATATGATTTTGACTTATGTATGATCATAGATGTTCAAAATTACATGCATGGATTCACTTTTAGGAACTTTAGGTGCAAGGTATTTTGAATTCTTTAAAAGTGTATCCTGTTTTCTTGTAGGCAACATTAAATATCATTCACAGTGTTGTTCTCTCAGTTCTTGACAAAAACCAAAGGACTAGAGAATTGGAGGAGATTTCACAACAGAAGAATGCTGCAAAAGATAATTCATTGGACACAGAGGTGGCTTATTTAATCCATGAAGGCATGTTTATAAGTGATGCATTCAGTGAGGGTGAATTGACAGCTATGACAGTCGACACTGCCTCTCAAAGGAATGCATCTCCAAATAGTGAGCCCTGCAGCAGTGATTCCGTGTCAGAGCCAGAATGTACTGATTCTTCATCCAGTAAAGAGCAGACATCATCATCTGCTACTCCAGGAGGAGTGGATATTATGTGAGTAGAGTGACTACTGCCAAATCGACAAGATTTTGAGTCATCTTATTAGTGGTTTCAGTAAGATTGATTATTCAATTTTTTGAAAAACCATGTAAACTTTAGAATTCAACAAAAATATATTAATTTTTTGAAGCATCTTTTTTCAAAAATGTGTGAAAGGTAAGGAGGTAAACATTGGAAGTAATTGATAATCACAGAATTTTAAGGCTGGAAAGGAACTTTAAAGATCATTTAATTAAATGCCCTCATTTCAGTGATAAGGCAACTGATGCCCACAGAGCTTAGATGACTTGACTTAAAGTTATTAGTGGCCAAAGTTGTATTGGAACCCAGGTTACTTATTGCTTTGGTCATTTTTCTTTCTTCTGGTACGTCACCTTTATATTTTATATATGGTGAAGGTATGTTTGATTTACAACCTTTGGTTTTTCAAAGACATGAATTTCCAAGTGGATCACACTATCTTTTGAAACATTTTTTTTTTTTTTTTTGAGACAGAGTCTCGCTTTTTTTGCCCTGGCTAGAGTGAGTGCCGTGGCGTCAGCCTGGCTCACAGCAACCTCAAACTCCTGGGCTCAAGCAATCCTTCTGCCTCAGCCTCCCGAGTAGCTGGGACTATAGGCATGTGCCACCATGCCCGGCTAATTTTTTCTGTATATTTTTAGTTGTCCAGCTAATTTCTTTCTATTTTTAGTAGAGATGGGGTCTCGCTCTTGCTCAGGCTGGTTTCGAACTCCTGAGCTCAAACAATCCACCCGCCTCGGCCTCCCAGAGAGCTAGGATTACAGGCGTGAGCCACCGCGCCCGGCCTGAAACATTATTTTTTTAAACTTCTTATTGTGAAATAATTTCAAATTTACAGGAAAGTTGCTAGAACAAAAAACTCTCATTTCTCCTTCATCCAGTTTCCCACTTGTTTACAGTTTACCACATTGCCCTTTATTTTCCTTCCTCCATTTTTCTCTCCTTTTCTTTCTTTCTTTGTCTCTTATGTTAACATTTTTTCTGAACCATTTGACAGTAGGTTGCAGACATGATGCCCCATTATCCCCAGATACTTCAGTGCATATTTCCTAAGTACAAGAACACTCTCCTATATAAGAATAGTATACCAATTAAATACAAGAAAACATTGATACATTATTACCATCTAATCCACAAATCCCATTCAAAGTTCACCAATTGTCTCAATAATCTCTGGTATCAAAAAAACACAAGGAGTGCAATGCGCACTACCCGAAGGATGGACATATTTGAAACACGGACTTGGGGGGTGGGGAACCAAGGGCAACACACGTAACCTAAACATCTGTATCCCATAATATGCTGAAATAAAAAAAAAAAAAAGAATAAACAAATAAATAAATAAAAAATAAAACAAGAAATCCAAACAACAACAAAAATAAAACAAAACCGATAAACTGTTTCAGGTCCAAGAATATAGTTTGGATTTAGTTATTGTTAAGAATAAGTTAAGTGTAACAATAACTCAGTACTTTTATTCGTCTTTACATAAATCAACCTTGTGGTCTAGGAGCTTATAAAGGTCACAGTTACAACATCAAGTCAGCTTTAATATGTCCCTTCTCAACAAACAAACAAAGAAAACCTGAGCTACATACTTATAAAAATATTTTTTCTGTATTCAGGCTAATATTTTCACATTTACTATTTAGAGCGCAGTCTAAAATCTAAAACTGCTTTAAAAAGATGTAAAACTCTATAGCTGAAGGCTGGATGCAATGACTCACACCTTTTCTAGGCCAAGGGGTGAAGTTTGCCTGAGGCCAGGAGTTTAAGACCAGCCTGAGCAACATAGCCAGACCCCGTCTCTACAAAAAATAGACAAATCATCTGGGCGTGATGGTGGCACATGCCTATAGTCCCAGCTACTCGGGAGGCTGATGCAGGAGGATCACTTGAGCCCATGCGTTGGAGGCTACAGTGAGCTATGATGATGCCACTGCACTTTAGCCCAGGCGGCAGATTAAGACCGTCTCAAAAAAAAAAAAACAAAACCAAACAACTCATGGCTTAAACAATATAGAATTTTATTTCTCTCATGGTCACATTTCAGAGGTAAGAGATTCTCAGCTGAGAAGACAGCACTACCATTTGAAACGTGTAGCTTCCATCTGTGTCTAAAGTGGCCGCTCCAGCTTTTATCATTTCACCTGTATTCCTAGCAGCAGGAAGGAGAGAATGAAGGAATAGTACCCTCCTTACCTGTTTTGCTTTTTTAACTTTTTAATTAGAGTATAATGCACATATAGGAAAATGTACCAATTATAAGTGTTCAGCTCAATTATCCCAAAACACATTAGTATAGAATTAGAACAATTGCCAGCTCTCCAGACCACCACACACCATCCTCCCTGCTACTATGCTACTACACTACCCCTTCTGAAAGAAAATCATGAAAACTATTGCTTTTTCCAGTTTTTAAACTTTATATAAATGGATTCATACATTTGCTCGTTTATCTCTGATTTCTTTCATTCTACCTTATTATATTTGTGATACTTGTCCAACTTGCTGCATGTAGCACTAGTTTTATTTTTGTTTGTGTACAAATACTCTATTTTATGACTAAACTACAATGTATTCGTTCTGCTGTTGATAAGATTTGGGTTATTTCCATTTTGGATTGTCATGAACATTCTTGTAGATATCTTTGGTGCACATGTTACAAGCGTTTCTGTTGTATATATACTTGGGAATAAATAAGGTAAGTGAATGTTCAATTTAGCTAATGTCAAACAATTTCTCAAAGTGGTTGTACTCATTTACAGTCCAGTAAGAAGTGTGGAAGAGTTCATATCACTCCACATCTTCCTTCACTCTTAGTATTGTCAGTCTTTTACATGTTAGCCATTCTGGTGGGCGTGTTTTAGGTGTAGTAGTTTTAATTTTTATTTCCCTGATGACTGGTAGGAGAATACCTTTTCATACATTCATTGGTTGTTTGGATATCCTCTTCTGTGAAGTGCCTATTCAAGGCCTTCACTAACTTTTCTATTGGTTTGTCTTCTTTCTTATTGATTTATGAGAATTCTTTCTTTATACAATCTCAATGTAAGCCCTTTGTCAATTATCTGTATTGCAAATATCTTCTCCTACTTTGTGGATTGCCTTTTCACTCTCTTATTGGGGTCTTTAGTGAACAGATGTTCTTAATTTTAATATAATCCTATGACTCATTATTTTCTTCTACAGTTCATGCTTTTTTGGTATCCTATTTGAGAAATCTTTCCCTACCTTAAGGCCTTAAAGATATTTTCTTATGTATTCTTCTAGAAGTTCTGTTACTGTCCCTTTCACATTTAGATCTACAGTCCATGTGGAATTGATTTTTATGTGCAGTATAAGGCTAAGTATTTTTGCCCCATGTGGCTATGTTTTTGACCTTGCACCATTTATTGAAAAAATTATTTTGCTCACTGCTCTATAGTGCCACTCTTGCCATAAATGAAATATTCAGATATATGTGTGTCTGTTTCTGGACTTTTTTTTTTTTTTCATTTTTATGTCTTTAAACCATTACCATTAAGTAAAATTGTCTTAGTTACTACAGGTTTTAATAAATATTAATATCTAGAAGAGTAATTTCTTCTACCTTTTCTTATTCAACATTGCCTTGACTATCCTTGGTCTTTTGCAAATCCGTATACATTTTAGATTTGTTAGTTCTCTGTTGCCTTCACATAAATTTGTTTATATTTTATTCTTTCTTTTTAAAAAAGAGTATAATTCAGAATTTGCACTTATTACTTCCACTCACATCCTAGTGACCAGCATGACTATATCTAGGTATAATGGAGGCTCTTTCACTTGTTGGCTATTTGCCCAGCTAAAGGTACTGTTGTGGAGAAGACAGAACAGATATTGAAAGATGGCTAGCAGTCTGCCATACCATTTGAGATTCTTTTAAACCAGATGCAGTCTAATAGTTTATGTCTTTCCCCTCTTACCTCCATTGTGACACTTTATACATTGAACCTTCTCTGGCTTTCTCCCAATCACACACTCCCATAGCATGAAACATGGGTTCTATAGATGGTTCTTTCTATGTTCAATAGGCACATAAATATTTGGGAACTACCCAGCTCAAAGGGGCAATGAATTAATTTAATATATTTATGTGTGGCCCTAATTAGTTTTTTCATACAAGGGCTCTATTCCTGTATTAAGTGTTTTTGCAGTATATAGTTGAATCATGGATATGATATAGAACACGCACAAGTGATATCTGACATTTTAACTTTGTTAGTGGTAGACTCTCCCTATTTTCTTTTGTCAAAATATTATTTGTCAAAGTAATCTATAATTCTGTAAGTTTATTGCAATGTAAATATGGATACAAAAGAGTAAATACTTATCTGGGCATGAAATAGGAAAGGGAAAATAATGGAAAAGATTAGGAAGAGTTGTGGTGTTTAAAAAAAATTTTCATTGTTAATTGTGGTTAAAAAATACAACATAAAATTTACCATCTTAACTATTTCTAAGTGTACAGTTCAGTAGTGTTAAGTGTATTCACATTGTTGTGCACTCCATCTCCAGAACTTTTTCATCTTGCAAATCTGAAACTCTGTATCTATGAAGCAACAACTCTGCATTTCTGCCTACCTCGAGCCTCTGGCAACCACCATTCTATTTTCTGTCGCTATGAGTTTGACTGTTCTAGGAATCTCATGTAAATGGAATCATACAATATTTGTCCTTTTGTGACTGGCTTATTTCATGTAGCATAATGTCCTAAAGGTTCACACATATCATAGCATGTATCAGAGATTCTTCCTTTTTAAGGCTGAATGATATTCCATTGTATGTATATATTACATTTTGCTTATCTATTCATCCATCAGTGGACACTTGGGTTGCTTCCACCTCTTGGCTCTTTCAAATAATGCTGTCATGAACTAGGGGGTACAAAAATATCTTAGAGATCTTACTTTCAGTTATTTTGGATATATAACCCAGAAGTGGATTGCTGGATTATATTTCAGTTTTTCTTTTTTCCCATTGCCAGGAAAGTTAGAGATCTAATTAAATTTTAAAAATAAACAATCTTTTTAAAAACAAATTGTTACTAACTAAATGATTTAAAAAAATAAGTTTCCAGCTTTTTAGATTAAGTTACCCTACTTTTTAAAGATTTGAGTTGTTTTTATTATTTTCTGTTAGGTTATTAAGTATGAAATGTCTGATTTCCTTAAGTAGTAAGTTTGACAGTTGATATCTCTGACATTTCACTTTGACACATCTTGTTTTATTTTTATTTTTTTTTATTTTTTATTTTTTTTAGGTATACTATATTGAAGTATAATTTACACAACCTTAAAATTCATCCATTGTAAGGGTACCATACATTGGTTGTGGTAAATATAGAGAATTTTATAGCCACCGCCACAACTCAGTTTTTGAATATTTCTATCCAAGTGTACTTCTTTTTAAAAAATAAGGCTATGTCTGAAAATGTGGATAGAGAAAATAATGTAGTTGCCTATGTTAACTTTTCTAGATTCTAGAGGGGGAAGATTCCAGGGAGCGGGGATTCACTACAGCTTCTTAGAGCAACCCAAAGAAGGGTGAGATTTCCAGAAGGGTGATTCTAAAAATCAATGAGGGCCCATATGGCACCACTTGATGGGCTGTGAAATACACTGTATAGGGGTCTCCTGGTACTGGTTAAGATATATGTGCCACATTAACACTGTCAAGTTATTGGCCTGCTCTTATAAAGGTCCTCTTATATTCATATACATCTTAAACATTCCAGTATATTAAAACACTTGGATACAGAAAATTGAGATGATGATTCAGTGTATACCATTTCTTCTTGCCTACCTGGCATGCTTTTCTAGTTTTGACTTAGACATCATGTCCTCCAGGCAGCTGTCTCTCTGATCTACTTCCCCCTCTTCCCAAGTATCATCTTGTTTTATTTTTATTATGAAGGTACATCCTCAGTCTTTCAAACGCACATTTTGGGTTGTGATTATCTTTCAAAATTTTTTTAGACCAATTTTTGTGAAACCATGGATAAGTCAAATATTCGTGTTATTTTTGATTGAACATGAGTTCCATTGTGGAACCAATGCAGCACAGACAGCTCAAAATATCAACAAATTGTTTAGGAATGATGTGGCTAATGAACGCACAGTATGTCGTTGGTTTGAGAAGTTCTGTTCTGGTGATTTTAATCTTGAAAATGAAAGACATGGGCAACGTGAGACCAAGGTGGATGATGATGTGCTGAAAGCTGTAGTGGAAGCAAATCCGTCTCAACCTCTGTATGAATTAGCAGCAAGGTTTGATGTTAGTATTCCAACAATATTGGACCATTTGAAACAAATTGGCAAGGTAAAGAAGCTGGATAGAGGGGTTCCGCGTGATTTAAATGAGCATCAGAAGAGAAATCATCTTGAAGCTTGCCGTTCTTTGCTGTCACAACATAAAGGGGAACCATTTCTACACCGTATTGTTATGTGTGATGAGAAATGGATTCTTTTTGACAATCACAAGTGTTCATCACAATGGTTAGATAAAGATGAAGTGCTGAAACACAGTCCAAAACCGAATATTCATTAAAAAAAGCTAATGGTGTCTGGTGGTCCAGCACTGGCATTATCTACTATAGCTTCATGAAGCCTAGTCAATCAATTACAGCAGAAGTCTACTGCAACCAATTGGACCAAATGTTGAGGATGCTTGCAATTAAGCAGCCGAGATTGGTCACTAGAGATAGGGCAGTCCTCTTGCAAGACAACGCTAGACCACATGTGGCACAAACAAAGCTGCTCAAACTACAGCAGCTGGACTTGGAAATTGTCTGTCATCCACTGTAGTCACCAGACCTTGCACCAACTGACTACCACTTCTTCCAGGATTTGGACCATTTCTTGCAAGGAAAAATATTCAATTTTCAACAAGCTGTGGAAAACAACTTTCGTGATTTCATCACCACTTGTTCTCCAGGCTTCTTTGCTGTTGGCAAAAGCAAACTTACCGTTAAGATGGCAAAATTGTGTCGATAGTTTAGGTGCATACTTTGATTAATTGTACTGCTTCTTGTTTGGGATATAATAAACTACACTTTTGATTTGAAATCAGACATTTCATATTTAATGACCTAATATTTATATTTTTGTGAATTGGTAGCATATTGCCAAGAGTTGCAAATTTCTTAATCATTCTGTTACATGGGGAAAATTTTAGTAATCCTTCCAAAAATAAAATTTTACTTCAGTAACAATTTTAAACTTTGAAATTTAAGCAGAATATTTTTTAGGAGCTGGTATTGAAATATCAGTGGACTGTTTATATAGAAATAAATGTTGGAGCAAAAGAAGCCAAATAAAGATAGACTGACTAATTCTTGGTTCTCGTCCTACTCTCTTAACCTTATGACCTTGGGTAGGTCACTTAAGCTTTCTAAGATTCAGTGTTCTCCTTTGTAAGTAGATATTTATCTACCTGCCTCAGAGTGTGAGAATAGAAGAAGGTAATATTTCTGAGAGTACTTTAAGAATATTAATTCCTCTATTATTTTAAAGCATTAGTAAATAAATTTAGAGATATTATAATTTTGAAGGATAGCAGATAATAATATTCTTTAATACCTTAACCCAGAGTAGTGGTTTGCCTCCAGTTAGCATATATCAGAGCCTCTTTGTAATAGCTTTGAAAATTATTTTAATTCAACTGAAAGGAAGAGAAATTATGTTAAGGCTAAACTCAGCTCTTGATAACACTAAACTGTTGACATGGAATTAGTGGTCTTTGTATTTTTTCCTCAAATGTGAATTTTATAAGTTTTTCATCCTTTTCATTGATATGTCACCTGTGGAGAATACTGTGTTTACAACTCTCCCTAAGTCTCATTTTTTCATTTTCAGGGTCAGTGAAGACATGAAATTAACTGACTTAGAGCTAGGAAAGCTGGCAAATAATATCCAGGAGTTATTGTATAGTGCCTCAGATATATGCCATGATCGAGCTGTCAAATTTCTCATGTCAAGAGCAAAGGTAGTTATTTTCATAAAACTTTAGAATATTTATATTT